TCCCTTCAACCCCTCCATCCCTCCCTATTTACAAAGACTTTGTTTCCATTTTTTCATTTTCTCATATTGATTCCATTCCCTTCTTTCTTTTCCCCTTCCTCTCCCACTTCCCTTTCCCTTTGCCCCTTTTCTTCCAAAGTGAAATCTTGAGGGAAGGGATTATTAGATCCCCTTCCTGTTCTCTTTCTCTCTCCCTTTCCCTCTATTATTTCCTTGTTTTTTATGTGTATTTCATTTCAGAGAAAGAAAAGCTTGTGATTTGTGTTTACATTTAATTATCTCCTTGTTAACAGATTCCACAAAATGGCCTTATGTATGGAGGAAAGCATTCGACGGGGAAAGTGGATTTTGCGTCAATCATGTCAGACTTGCAAGAGAGAAGTTTCTGAAATGAGTGTGACGCACACAAAAAGGCACTTCAAAGGCAATCAATAGCATACACTCATTAGCTCACAATCCCATTAATTTGTGAAGGTTAAACAACATGTCATTAGCTTAAAGAGGCAGAGGAAGTTAGCTTGGGTTTAGAATTTGTGACCTGATATGAAAGAAATGTTTTGCTTTTTTAAATTAGACGATTCCAGTTGTTTTTCTTCAATAATCTGTGGAAATTATTTACTGTCTACTTTTTAAATTGTGGGTTGAAGCAGGAGGATCAGTCATTCAACATATCAATCACAACAGATCTCCATAGCATCTTCTCAGGAACAGGTAGTGTGCGTGGCTCACTGGGGAAAACGATAACAAGGAACACATGGGATTTGCCCTCGAGAGACTGACAGTCAGGCTACAGGGACCAGGGATAAACATACAAAAACATTTAAAACAAAGCACACATGGCAAATCCATGGGAAAGACTGCTTGTGACAAGAACAGCAAGGAGGGGCGACTCCCTAGGTCCACGCATGGACTCAGAGTGCGGTAAGGAAAATAAGTCATTCTGGGCAGGAGGGACCATAGTGCCCCAGCCCAGCGGCAGCTCATTTAGGGAACAAGTCAGGATGGGAAGAGGGTGTCTAGCAAATCTGGGAAGGGAGGAGGAAAGACAGGCGCTTGGCAGGCTGGGGTCCCTGCTGCTGTCCCGTCTGAGCTCCCTGAGATGCCTTTATTGCTGCTGCTGGGCGGAGACGGGACATATGGAATGAAGGGAGATGTCATAGTGCCCCCTCTCTGATACATGGTGATGACTCCTGATCTGCCTTTCTGCCTTCAGAAACCCGAGCCTCATATTAATCTTGCTTGCTTCCATCTCTCCTTCCTAGAAGGCCTGATGCAGTGTATTCTGTGTGGTTAAACCCATTCAGCTAGATGCTAGCCCACTGTGGAGTGTGACAGTGTCCTCAGCGGTTTTACTTGGTCATCAGGGGGTGACGATGTGGGGAAAAAACATGGTTTTGTATTTTTAAATTTTGGATGGTGAAGGTAAGAACAAGCACGCTGCATGACTTATTTTCTTCTAGAAGTCTGTGAAATTTAGCTTTCCAAAAATGAAAACATCTTCCCTAAAGTTCCTAGCCAACTTCTTTGCAAAACCCCAAATGGAACAGCTGGTGTTTTAAGGACTGCATATTCAAAAGTGCACTTTCCCCCAGCACCCGTGAGTCATTCTCTTGTGGCTGAACAGTTTAGTTACCCTGCAGTTGGTAACAAGCAGATGGTCAAATGGAAGCATGTGAAGAGGGCCACCACAGGCAGTCTGGGAACCCAGCGGAACCCTTGTTTCTAAGGGTAAAGTGGCTCATATAGAAAATAGTACCTATATGGCTAAAGAGGAAGAAACACCGCTCTGTCATTAACCACTTATGCTTTTATTTTGCAACCAATAAATACATTTGGATCACGAAATACTGAGAACAAATTGGTAATTGAAAGAAATCTCTTGGCATTGGAATTGTAATTAGCAGTGACTCGACTGTTTCCGCCCTGGAATTTAAGGCGGAGTTACATTGCTTTTGTTGTTTGGAAAGATTTGATGGGCCTGGGGACAGAGTTATTTTGTGGGTGTGCAACTGTCTACCCGTAGAGGTTCGTACATGCAATGGAGTGGTAGTTAACTTCATGGTCTGTGGTCACCATCTTCACACTCTTAAACTTTGAGCAAGGACTTTGCATTTTCATTTTTTTCCTGGGTCCTGAAAATTATGTAACTAATTCTATATTCATACATTCACAAAGTTTTTCTTTATTGTATCACCCCATTGTTTTTAGAGTTAGCGTGGGATATGTAAATGAGAATATGGTATAGTTACCAAGAAAACACACCAAAAGGTGGGTGGTGGGAAAGGAGCAAAACTAATCCTTTACTCTTATAGCTACATTTTTTATTCCTAGGCATGGCACTAGAAAAGGTAGTCCAAATAGTTTCTGTGGAGTATATTCTTTTTTTTATTTTTTGGTGGTACTAGGGATTGAACCCAGGGGCTTTGCACTGAGCTCTACTGGTTGTTTTTTTATTTTTCATTCTGAGATAAGGTCTTGCTAAGCTGCCAAGTTGACTAGGCTGGTCTTGAACCTGAGATCATCCTGGCCTAGCCTCTCAGAGTGCTGGCATTGGAATTGCAGGTGTGAGCCACCATGCTCTGTGAAGTATACTCTTAAACACCTTTGATTCTGAGTATAGCTCAGTGGTAGAGCATATGCTTAGCATACGTGCACGAGGGCCTGGGTTCAATCCCCAGTACCCACCAAAATATACTGCTTCAAGAAGTCTAATATTTACCTTGATTTCCTTTTACCATCATGAAATTATTCTTGTGTGATAAGTTATTTATTACTGGGCCATTTACAAAGCACTTATTCTTCTGTAACCCTCTTTAGTGGACATTAATATATGCTATATAAATATTTCAAGGAATTCCTATAGTCTTTTGATGTGATTTCTTTTTTTTTGGTACCGGGGATTGAACTCGGGTCCTTGCACTTGTGCAGCAGACGGCGAAACCACTGAGCTAAATCCCCGGCCCCTTGATGTGATTTCTTTCCTCATAATCTGAGAAAATACCTGGATATTAGTGTGGTGTATGAGGTATGGGTGGCTAGAATGGAAGAAAAAGTCTATTTACACACATGTAGACCTTTTCTTTCTGTAGAAGTACTTGTCATTTCTCTATATATCCCTAAAGTCACCTTGCCAATTTCTAGATATCCGGGATATTCTTTCTGACCTGTTTTGGCCTGGAAATGGTGACCGAAAATCTGGTCTCATAGAGTCAAGTATCAACCCTATTCAGCCTTTTTTTTCATTCCACCCAAAGACCTGGAAAAGGATACACATTTCTATCATTCAGTACAACCAGTAATCCAGAATTTCCAACTAAGAGGTAGAAGGTAAAATTCTGTACTGTCCAACTTCAGTAGTTTTGATGAGCAAACCCACATAGCTTTTAGCAAACTTTGCTAACTAAACAGGAAGCTGGATTGGCAATAATAGAAATAAATTCAGAGAAGTTTTGAAATGAAAATATGATAAATCAGTTTCTTCCTTGCAAAGCAGGAAAACAAGTTATTTACCCTTTTAAAAATAGCTTCAGGTCTGAGGTACAGTACAGTACTTGTGTCCAACAGACCTGTGCTGGAAAAATAACTCCATGATATTGGGAGGTAGAGCCTTCGAGAGGTGATTAGGATTAGACAGGTCAGGACAGGGGGCCCTAGGATGGCATTAACAGCTTTATAAGACAAGGGAGACCTTGGCTTGCTTTGAGTGTCTCAATATCATGCTTCCACCGTGTCAACATGCAGCTCACAGGTCCTCACCAAATGCCAGTCCAATGGCAGAGCTGAGCCTGGGCTACCTGGCTTCCAGAACCATGAGCTAAATAAGCTTCTACTCCTCATGTGGTCCTAGATACCTTGTTATACAACAGAAAATGATCTAAGACAAGGGTCAAACACAGCCCTGAAAAAGGAGTTCCTTTTATTTATAATTTATTACAGAGGGCTATCAAATGATTAGAAAATACTGGCTCATTCTACAAAATGAGCAAACTGTATAAAAATTTATGTCATAATGTAAAGAGGGCCAGGGAAACACAATAGTATATCTTTTAATGATTAGAAATTTCTTATAAGGAAAGCAATTTAATTGAATGTATATTAATGTAAAAAATTGAATATAACCAAAATACTTATGATGAAAAACCCTAGTCTCCTGCCTTAAGCACCCCACCCACCGTGTCCTTTCAAGTTCTGTGTCCTAAAGTCAAACATTTTAAATTTTTCACCTATTTCTTGACATTTCTAAATAATATTTTTTGATGGCTATTTTTCAATTTATTGATTTTAGTCAATATTTATTTCCTTAGTTTTATAATAAGGGATTTAGCATTCTTACTCTGCTTCCCACTTTCTCTCTTTATTCCAGAATAGTTTTATCACTATTTTTGGTTAAATCTGTTATTGTTTATGATTTTATCATGTAAATCTTATTTACTATAGTATTAGTGAGTTCATTTCTTTTCTTAAACAATTTCCTCCCCATCCCACATAGGATGAAGATCATGTCCTTATTCATTGTCCTCAAAGCTACTGAGTCATCATTCAATTAATTCCTCTGAGAATCTGACTCTCAGAGTAGACAGGTTGCTCTTTATATCTGTTACACAGCTAGGCTGGGGATTTAGCTCAGCGGTTCTGCTGCCTGCCTCACAAGCTCACGGTCCCAAGTTCGATCCCCGGTGCCAAAAAACAAAATAAAACAAAATATCTCTTATGTAGCATCATCCTAGGGATTTCTGTTGCCTTCCAAGGTAGACTGTACATTTCTCCAAACCTCAAGTCATATTTTTTGAAGCATATTCTGCAGTAGCTTTCTAAGAAACAATACAGGAAAGAAAAAAATTTTTTTCAATTTTTAATGTTTGACAATGTCTATTTTCCATCTTATTTGACGGAATTCTTTAGGACTCTGGATTGTATAAAATTCTAGATTAAAAATTAATTTTCCTCAGAAATGTTCAGGCATTTCTCTATCATCTTCTAGCATAAAGTGTTACTACAGTTTTCTCTCCATAACCTTGAATTCTGCATCTGCAAATTTAAGCAACAATGGTACCAAAAATGTTTGAGAAAAAACTGCATCTATACTGAAGAGGTACGGGCTATTTTTTTGCCATTTTCCCTTAAATAATATAGTTTACATACCATTTACATTGTGTAAGGTATTATAAAGAATGCAGAGATGATTTAAAGTGTACAGAAGAGTATGTAGAAGTTATGTGAAAACACCACCCTATTTTACATGAGGGATTTGAGCATCCATGGATTTTGCTATCCACTTGAGTTCTGGGAACCCAATCTCCCATGAAAAATAATTACATTGTGTGCTCTGGGAGTTTTGTTCCTTGTGTGCTATTATACTATTTCCACTGTGTTTCCCTGATCTTTCTTCCTGGAACTTTCATTAATTACTGGCTTTCTGGATTGGTCTGCTAATTATCACTTCTTACCACTCTGCTCATAGGTCCTGCTTCTCTTGTTCTATTTCATTTATGCTTTTCTTCATCTTATCTTCCAATACGTCTATTAAAATTTTAACTTGTCATGATATTTTTAATTGCTAAGAATTATTTCTTTACTCATATTATTTTTTAAAAAGTAACATTCTGTTTTTACTTGTGGCTGTACTATTTTTTTAGCTAGTATCTGCTATAACAGAGTCCTCTACACTAAGTAGCTTAAGCAACAAACATTTACAGCTGACAGTTCTGGGGGCTGGAAGTCTGAGATCAACGCCATCATGATTTGGTACACTGTGAGGCCTTTTTCCTGATTTACAGATGGCCACTGCCATGTTTTCAATATTTGTTCCTTGCAAAATTCATGCTGAACTGTAATTGCCACTGTAATGGTATTAAGAAGTGGGAACTTTGAGAGACAATTAGGTTACGGGGTTCAAGGTTCAAGCCTCATGGATGGGACTGATGGCATTATAAAAGGATGAATTTGACCTTCGCTTGCCCTTTTTGCATTCTGCCATGGGAGGACACAGCTCTTGCCACACGCTGGTACCTGG